AAAGTATGTGAGAGGATTTGAGGTAAAGTGTGAATATTCTCACAGGACTACTAAAATTTTTGACTGTTTCTACCACTAGGCTGGACACTCTCATTTTTTGTGGGGAGAGTACTGGGAAGGTCTTGCTTGGTAGTAGGGAATAATTAGCTCTAGATTATACTCAGCCTAATTCTGCCATTTTTTTCTGCCTAGGAAATCTCAGTATTAAAATTCAAGCACATCAAACAACTTTCAAGTAATTTGAATTCATTCCATAACAAAACTAATAAATATAGGTATGAGAATGTCTTCTTCACCATTGAGCAGGACAAAGTTCATTATATTTAACATTCCTAAAGATTTCCAGGCATGTGAGGAAACAGGGCTAAGTCATAAAAGAAGAGATAGATCGGTTGATCAAAACTGAACCAGAACTGAGATATTAGAAGCAGACAAGGAGCTTGTAAGGTATTAACATTTTTTTTTATTCCATATGTTCAAAAAGCCAAGTAGAGATCTGGAAAATACATGCAAGTTTCATATGTGTAATTTGACTTCCTAAAGTAAATGGTAGGAAGAGGGAACAGAACTATTTACAAACATATAGCCAAAAAGTTTTCCAAAATGATGGAAACTCTGAATTCACAAATTCAAGAAATTCTGTGAACTCAAACATAGGGAATATGGGAAAAAAAACTCCCTGTGAAGAATTTATCAAATTCTTCAAGAACAACAATATAGAAGTGAATTCAATACTGTCTACAAAGCCACAATATGTCATATTTATGTTTGTTCCTTTGTACAACAGATTTCACACTGGAAATAATGCAAATGAATTGACAGTGGAACAATGACTTTAATGTTCTGTAAGAAAAAAAAATCACCCATTAGCCTAAAAGGTTATTTATACCCTTCCATACTCTGTAGAAAGCAGATGGTATAGAAAGAGTAGAATCATGAAATCATGTGAGATTAAGTCTTAACTCTATTGATTACTACATTATTGCTTTATGTTTCAAGACATCATCATATTTTAAGTAGCATCCTAAAAGGTTAATTTGCCATAATGTGTAAGTGATAGCCATTGTCTCTGGCCTTTGAGTGAGAGGTAAAATAAACTGTATAAAGAACCAAGCAAAGTTCTTAACATTTAATATCATCAAAATGGCCATAAATCCTTCATCTCCTGCCTCATATCATGTTAACACTATGATGCAGTTTCCATCAGCTGGTAGAGCCTGTTTTCCCATTTGCCATGTGTTTATTGTGGTCAACGCACTATTAGAAACAGCTTTTCAAGCTCTTGCACGTGGAAGCTTACTTTCTTAATGCTTTTTGAGAAACACTTCTTACTGGATGAAAAGCACAAACCCAAGTCACCACCTGGGCCAGCATCACCTATGCCAGAGTCCAGCTGGGGCTAGTTGATTCAACCCCCAAAGCCCACCCACAGAGATGAGAGTAGGGGTTGTGCCATAAGGGTGAAGGTGTGCCAGAGTGCATGGGGGTAGGGGAGTGTTGCAGTCTTACCTTAAGGAAAATTTCAAAGAAATTTTGTAGTACCAAAAGCCCAAAGAATAAAATGTCAGTAGCTGGTCTAAATTGAAAAAGGAGGATGACAGTTTGCCAAAGCACAGAGAACATGCTTACCCCTTATTGTAAGATGTAAGTGGAAGAGGGAGGTGCTGTTCAAATTGCTCCTGAATAGTTTGCACAGAGAAAAATGTTTTAAATTGAAGTGCACTCAATTTTAGTTTTCAGGGTTTTTTTTCCATTTCTTTATACATTTCTAACCAAAAGTGAGATTTAATGATACACGCATGTACCTGCACGTACACACACACACACACGTCTTTGCACTGTCCTGCTTCCCAATTGATTAGATGGCTGATGTGATTTTTGCTTGTTCCATCATTGTTATGATCCATATTGTGTGAAGTCAGGGCAGCCTGTGTACAATAGTAGGTCAGTATACCTCATGTACATATATCGAGAGGACATTTCTGCTTTTGTTACTAACCATTTAAAACTCTACTTAAAACATTATGAAGTTTTGCTCCAATCTAGGTACAATGGCTCAAGCCTATAATCGTAGCTACTTAAGAGGTGGAGATGGGAGATTATGGTTGGAGGTCAGTCTGGACATAAAAGTTCATAATACTCCATCTCAATGGCTGGATGCCATGGTGCATGTCTGTCATCCCAGGGATAGGGGAAGTATAAGTAGGAAGGCTTTCTTGAGCATAAAATGAGACCCTAGCTCAAAAATAACCAACACAAAAGGGACTAGAGGATCAAGTAGTAAGGCAATGTCAATCCTAGCAATTCAGAAGGCTGAGATCTAAAAATTGTGGTTTGAAGCCAGCTTAGGCAGGAAAGTCCATGAGACTCTTATCTCCAGTAAATTACTCAGAAAAGGGCAGAGATAGTGCTGTGGCTCAAGTGGTAGAGCACTAGCCTGGAGAACAGAAAAGTTCAGGGATAGTGCCCAGGCTCTGAGTTCAAGCCCCAGGACCCGCAAAAAAAAAAAAAAAAAGCAGGAGAGGAGTTCATTTTTTATTTCAGCTACAGCACAAAATATCTTTGCAAATAGCTAGGAAGAAGAAAATTTAATTTGGGATGAAATATTAAGATTGATGGGGGTGCTTAGTTTGATTTACTAGAAATAGAATAAAAGTGAGGACAACAGGATCCACATTCATTACAAAAATGCCTTATCCTCTCAGGAACTTTAAATAGTGGAATATAAAATCATCAGACTTCAACCATGCTAGGTTGTAAGTATGAAGAAAAAGTATAAGTTATAAGGTTTGCATTTCCTGGCTTTTGACTGAGTGGTTAGAGGGCCAGAAGTTGTTTTAAAATAATTTTCCCAGCAAAGCAATAATGTGTGAGGGTGTCTGATGGCTGAGTCTCATTCATCTTGCAGCTTTTCAATGGAATATTATCTAGGCCCATTACCCAGTAGAAGTCATTCAACATCTGTGCGCTTCCTGGCCACTTGGGCTGGGAGAATGGATTGCTAGATTATTGCAAACTTTCTGTGTGTAAATGTCCTTTGGGTAATGTACAGGAATGAAGGACAATATGATAACCTAGGTAGTGATCAGTCGGCTACCACTCTCTCTACATCTGAAGTAAGCAAGCATCTTAACAGCTCATCTATTTTAAACTTGGAAGACTTGTTGATGTGGCTTCTTCAGTGCTAAAACTGCCCATACAGCAAAAGTGTAAAGGCTAAAATCTTTGATGATTAAATCACCCTTAAGGAGTCTCTTTCTTATGTTGGCCTTATTGTGCAGATAGCTAGTCAAGTTGCTCTTGTTTCTAGAAGCTTGTTATTGTATACTTGGCTGGTCTAGTTAAACTGCATTTGAAGAAATAGTCATCCCACAGACAGAGCTATATACTGGGAAATATTATATAACATATTTTTCAATCATTTGTTTACCAGAAGCGATTCTTTCCTATTAAGGTAAAATTCTTATAAAATCAACTGTTTTAAAGCCTATAATTCCATGTCATATTGCATATATTTGTAAAACCATCACTTCTTACTAGGATCAACATCTTTCCAAAGGAAAATCTGTCCTCACCACATAATTGCTCTGTGTAGCTCCTTTTCCCTAGTTCCTACAAACCAATCTACTTTCTATATTCATGGATCTTCCCAGTTTTGGCATTACAAGTAAATGGGATCCTGTACTATTTTATAACTAGCAAACATGATGTGGTTTGGGATTTTCACAACTCATCCATGTTGTCTTACAGGTATGTTCTTTATTTCTTTTTATAGGAACATTCCATTACACAACATTTGATTGTATAATTACACAATTTATTCAGCCATCCAATGATAAATGTCACTTTTTAGCTATTGTGAACATAGTATAAATGCCTATTTGAGTACCTGTTTTTAATTCTCTTCAAGAGCTACCTGGGAGTGGAATTAGTACTTTTTTAAGAATTTAACTTGCTGAGGAACTCAGTGCAAACTCAATCATGGGTGGGGGGCCCTTCCTGGTCTGTGCTACAATAATGACCAGGTCAGCTGTGTTGCTCCTCAGGGGTTATGTTTGGAGACCAACTCTTTTTTAATCCTTTAAACTAGCCTCTAGTAAGACAGGAGCTGATGGTTTTGCATTTCAATTTGATCTTTGTTTTAATTACCCGTTTTCTATCTGCACCAAACTCAATGTTCATTTGGAAAACTCTATAAACATAGGATTCAAGAGGTTACATTAGAGGATTTGACCTTTAACAAGATAGCCTGGAATTGTAGGTTCAAAATTTCATCACTGCTCATCTTTAGCAATGTTGACTTAGAGAATTTGCCTAACATTTCAGCTTCAGTTTCCTTATTCAATGGAAATAGGGAAGCGTTATTTGCCTTTCTTAGGTATCATAGATTTTGGGAGGTTTACTGAAGTATTGGGTAAATAAATGAGAATATTAGATACAAAACAGAATAAGATATCCAGTTTATGTGTTTGTTTCAGATATTTTACCAGCTATTGTTTACTATTTTTTATTATTGTTAATTATACAAAGAGGTTTCAATGCAGCATATCAGTTTGTGAATGCAATACATCTTAATGAATCTAACTACCAGCCTTTAAAATTGTATGGACTGACAATATAAATTCAAATTAAAAAATTTTTGACTATGAAAGTCCCAAAAGAATGCTTGTCAACAGGAGTAATGAGTAGAAGCAAGGAGGGAGATCCAGAAACCTCCACTCTCTAGAAAGAAAATAGGTTATTTTGCGAGGTAAGCATTTGCTAGCCAGCTATTAATGATGGGCACAGACTGCCTGGCTGTTTTTTCCAAGGTCATTTCAAGTGCTGGCATTTGAAGGTCAACATTCCACATTTTATGTAGGAATCTATTTTGAGGTAAAACATTTGAGACAACTCAAAACTCTATATAGTAAAGTCTTGTGATTTTATATTGCTTCATCTCCAGACTATCTGAATATCTCTACATTAAGAAACATTCTTATCCAATATTTTTGTCTTAGGTAACACGTCACCTTGCCAAACTCTTTGACAGCATGGCAGACCTGCAGTTCCTAGATAGTCAGGATGACTCTGCACACCGGGCAGTTGGAATGTACAGCAAAGAAAAGGAGTATGTCCCATTCTCAGAAGAGTGTGATTGCACAGGCCATGTAAGATATGACTATGAAGGTTTTCTATGCGAAGGGAATGTCTCCAGGATAATTTCTAATTATCATTTGTATCAAATCACGCTTTGGTTGTGTTTGTGCTAAGAGGTTCTTATTTGTGGTATCCTCTGTGGTGACTCTCCCATGCTGCTTAGTTTCTGCTCATTTCACTTCAGGGTGTCTGAGGTGGCAGGATTTGAACTAGACCAACAGTGATGGTCACAAATTAAATGAAGGCACCACAGAATTAGTAAGAATTGTAGCCCCATCACTGGGCCTTTTATGTAGCCTACATGGTGTTCACCATTGCTCAGAGAATACAGAAAAGAGCCATGAAGAAGTGCCTTATGATAACACATGATTTTAAGGAACTTTGTGGCTCGAACTTGAATGCTGTAAATGGTTTTTTGAGTCTACCAATCTGACATCACGTGTTCTACTTATTGTATGCATAGAGTTAGAATATCCTTTTCAGGTACCAGTGGCTCACTTCTGTAATCCTAGCTACTCAAGAGACTGAGATCTGAGGATAGTGTCTCCTGCCAGCCAGGGCAAGAAAGTCCTAAGATTCTTATCTCCTATTAACCAGCAAAAAAACTAGAAGTTGTGGTGTTCCTCAAGTGATAGAGCAAAAAAGTCAGCTGAGAGCTCTCAAGGCCCTGAGTTCAACCCCCATCCAGCACTCACACTAAAGCAGAAAGGAAAAAAGTACCTTAAAAATACATTTACCAGTGGGCGCCTGTGGCTCATGCCTATCATCCTAGCTACTCAGGAGGTTGAGATCTGAGGAGTGTGGTTCAAAGCCAGCCTGGGCAAGAAAGTCTGTGAGACTCTTATCTCCAATAAACCACCAGAAAACTGGAAGTGACACTGTGGCTCAAGTGGTAGAGCCCTTGCCTTGAGCTGAAGAGCGCAAGGACAGCACCCAGGACTAGAGTTCACGCCCCACAACAGACAAAAAAAAAAAAATACACTTATCAGTTATCCTCAAGAATGACTTCTTATAATTTATGGCAGAGTCCTCAGTGTATTCTGCGATTGAGGGGAGCTGCATCTTTTTTTTTTTTTCTGGTGATATTTGGTAGCTTGGTTGGACTCATGGAGAAAGTAAAGAATTAACATCTATCAGTGAACCTTTTGGGTTGGGACATGGCTTCCTTCAGCAAAGTTCTTTGCAGCAATGAGTTTGCAAGCTTATTTTTTTTTTTTACAAGGGTTCTCTTTACTCCTCTCCGTTGCTTTTTAATATTTACCAGAAAAGTCCTGCCAAATGAAGGGGAAGCAGATGGTAGAACATTTTGATTAAAATATATTTTTTGATCTCTTGGGGTTTTTAGGATATTATTATAATGATTAGGAAAAGTCACCATAAACTATCTTGACAAAAGTGTATTACTGTCTGCCCCGACCCAGCAGGCTGTCATTTACTGGCATGGTGCCCAGAGGGGGAGAGTCCAATTGATCAATGGGCTTGTCACTAGCAGGAGCCCTTGATATTGAAAGTTTTTATAGTACTCTAATTTTTTCTGTATAAGAAATGGATGCAGAGACTTTTGAGCACATATTGCATTTGCTCTCTAATTGCCTTTGCTGTTTATTTTCTCTTTTAATATTTCCCACATTTTCTCATTTTTCTTTCCCATTTTAATTTGTTTATATTTTATTGGGCAAATGTGGATGGAATACTTACTATGCATCAGATGTTGCCTTAGGCCCACCAAAGAATTAGACATAACCTTGGCTCACTGAGGAAATGTATACATGCATAATTAGTAGTAATGGGAGTAGTCATTTTAATCATAGAAGGTAGGCTGAATGTTATGCAATATCCATGAGGATCCAGTAAACACCCTATCAGAGCTGAGTTGTCAATTCATGCTATATTGTCAAAAGCACACCATGTGAAGTTGCTATTGTTGGCCTGGTGATCCAAACATGAGCTGCTTTGTTGTCTTAGCATGTGTCTTGTCTTTCTAAATGGATGGTCTACTGAGGACATGCATTCCATAATTCATGGAAGCTGATCCATCAAGTAACAACTGACTTACTGAGGGCTCATGCCCTCTGTTGTACTTAAAAGCAGAGACCTAGAACCCCATTGATTAGATCAGTTACCATGAACTTGTGTGTGTTAATAAAGCCCAACTTTGAAGTCAGGGAGAAGGATTCCTCAGTTGCTATTGGGACATGCTCCCTGCAGCATTTCCCTTTTCTTTCAAGGAGAAGGTGGCCAGCGCACTAACAGTATGCCCCCCTTTCCAATTGTCAAGAAACTCTTAAAATGCTACTAGCGTCACAGGGACAGGAAAAGAAATCAGTTGTAGCATCTTTAGCATCTGATATAGTCTTTGATTTTTATTCAGCATAGTCTTTTCTTTTCTTTTCTTTTTGCCCAGTTTGAACTCAAGGCCTCAAGCTCTTGATTGGCTTCTCATTCAAAGCTGGTGCTGTATCACTTGAGCAAAACCTCCACTTCTGGCTTTTTGCTGGCTAGTTGGGAGATAAGAAAATCATGGATTTATCTACGTAGGCTGGCTTTAAGCCTCTATTTTTAGATCTCAGCCTCTTGAGTAGTTAGGATTATAGGCATGAGCTACTGGTAGCTGGCTTTTAGTGTTTTTTTTTTTTATTGCTGGGATCAATTGTTGTTGTTACTGGTTTTTTTGCAATGTACTTTTTCAGTTACATGTTATCATCAAATGGAACCAGAGAGATGGATTAATACAACAAAGTACATTTGAACATGGTAGAAAACTGGCTATTTGTGGAAGCAAAATAAACTTGAAATTTTAAAAAAATTAAAAGATTTTTTCCCCACAAGTCAGTAGTTGTCCTATTCTCTATACACTCTAGCTGTCTAATTTCTGACAAGTGCAAAGATTAGAACCAGTAGGGAATAGGATTAAGATTCTTGGTAAAAAATATTTTGGCCTCAGAGTAAAAATGATGAAGATTTTAGAGAAAGATTTTCAGGATATTTAAAATAACCAAAGGTATTTTAAAATCAATTTTAATTACCCCTAAGCTCTGGAATAAAACTGGGATATTGAATTTCTCAAAACACTATTACCAGAGGGGAGCCCTGGTCTAGAACCCCTTTGTTTTCAAAGTTGAAAACTGAGTCACAGAGAACACATCCTCTGTTTAAGCTGTGAAGAGTTATTAGCCCTCTGGTAGGCAAAATAACATGCGCTCTACCCCTGGTAGAAGACAGGCTATGTAAGGAAAATAGACTTACTCTTTTGAACCATCCCTCTTATAGTTTCCTAGAAGGGTTAGAGTTAAGGCCACCTGCCATATCACGGGTGTGAGGATGGATGCTTACCTTCCATGACTAAACCAGTGTTACCACATTTCAATTTGCTCCAAGGTGGAAATTTGGCTTCTACAACTTGAACAGACTATGCAAGAAACGGTGCGCCAGGCTATCACAGGAGCCATAGCAGCCTATGAAGAAAAACCTAGGGAGCTGTGGATTTTTGATTTCCCAGCCCAGGTTGCACTAACAGGCTCACAAGTCTGGTGGACAACAGATGTAGGAATTGCCTTCAGTAGGCTGGAGGAAGGCTATGAAACAGCCCTAAAGGACTTCCACAAAAAACAGGTATTTTTTTTTTATGGATTTATGATTCTTTTGATACTCAAAGAGGTGAGTTTCATTCATTTATTATTTACTTTTAGAGAATTGGGTTTCCTATCCTATAGACATTGGTTGGTATTTAGTAGACTTCGCATTATAGGATTCAATTGAAAGAAGTGGCTGAGATGTAGTAGTTTTTATTTCACTTGAATTCACCAATATAAAAATATTGGACATTCACTTCTCTCCCTCTCCCTCTCCTTTTCCCTCTCCCTCTCCTCTCCCTCTCTCTCTCTCCTTCTCTCCCTCTCTTTCCCTCTCTTACCCTCTCTCCCTCCACCCTCTCTCCCTCTCCCTCTTTTCCTCTCTCCCTCTCCCTCTCTCCCTTCTTCTCTCTCTCCCTTCCTCCCTATCTCTCTCTTCCTCTTTCCATATCTCTCTCTCCTTCTCTCCCTGTCTCTCTCTCCCTTTTCCCTTCTCTCCCTGTCTCTCTCCCCCATCTCTCTGCCTCTCCTTCTCTTTCCCTTTCCCTCTCTTTCTCTCTTGCTTTCTCTCTCCCTTTCCTACTCCTATTTTTTATTTCTGACTTTAATTCCTTTCTTTCTGTAGCAGATCTTTTAGCACTTGTTCAGTGATGAATACAAAACTTTTGAGCCCCTCATCTTTATTTTAACTTTTTTTAAGTCTTTTAGGTATAGAATTCTGAGTTGCAAGTTAGAATTTAGAAATATATATAATATACATATATAAAATATACATATATAAAATATACATATTATATATTGTACCTATATACAGTACATATAGTACACATATATAGTATATGTAGTGTGTGTGTATATATATATGTATATATATATATATATATATAGTATATTTAGTATAATATGTAGTATATAAAACTGGGGATCAAATCCATGAGAAGTGTTCTGTCATTAAGCTACATTCCAGCCCTAGAAAAAAAATATTTTTCCACTATCTTCTAATTTTCATTGTTTCTTTTTTTTTCTTTTTTTTTGTGGGGGGGTCCAGTCGTGGACCTGAACTCTGGGCCTGGGCGCTGTCCCTCAGCTCTTCAGCTCAAGGCTAGCACTCTACCACTTGAGCCACAGCACCACTTCTGGCTTTTTTCTTTTTGCTTATGTGGTGCTGAGGAATCGAACCCAGGGCCTCATGCATGCAAGGCAACCCTTTTCCCCTGAGCCACCTTCCCAGCCCCATTGATTTTCATTGTTTCTATAAAATCTTTTTTTTGAATTGGTAACTTTATTTCTTTGGTTATAAATTTCTGCCTTTTTGTCCTGTATTCTTTTTTGTATTATGAAAATACCATACAGAGGGGTTACAATTACATGGGCAAGGTAATGAGTACATTTCTTATCAAGCATTGTTGCCGCCTGCTTTGTTTCCCCTTCCCATCCCATCCCATCTCCCACTCCCCCCACCCCCGCCAAAGTTGTAAAGTTTGTTTTTCGACATAACATCTTGTACATCTCATTGTTGCAATGGATCCACCTGTATCCCTATTTAAACAACTTGTTTTTTTCCTTCCCCTCCACAAATTATACCAACATCATTACTAGTATATATCTGAGACAAGCAGAAATGATCAGATAAGTTGATGTTAAGCGAAATGAACCCCAAGATAAGGACTCAAATAAGGACTCTTTCATGTGATTGTTTCTAACACATTTATAAGTTGATTTCTTTGTTGCTTTGTATGTCCCTCCCCCACGGTATAACCCCTGCTTTCACTGTATAAAATCTTAAAATAGTCAAATTTCTTTTCCTTTGTAAGCAGCCTGTCTTGTTTTGCCTGCTTTTAAGATTTCTTTTTGTGGCTCTGATATTTGATTATACTACACATAGTTGAAAGGTTCTCCTACCCCATTTTAAATTTAATCTGTTAAAGACTCAGCGAACCCTTTGATCTTCACTTATATATCTTCTTCAATTTCAGAAAATTTCCTTCTCTCCTGGTTTGATCAATGCCTTTCTTTTTGCATCCATTTTTAAAGGGAGAACAGTGAAATGGCTTCAGCTTAGATGTATGGAACTCTTCATGTCCCATATTTTCTATCGTTTTGTGTTGCATTTCAGGTAACTTCTTAAATCTAGTTTTGAGTTCACTTTCTTCCCTGTAGCAAATGATTAGGAAAAAGAACCTAGAGATAATTTGCATATGCTCAAATCTCAGCTTCTACCAGTTAATAATAAGTTCTGTGGTTATTGGCAAGCAATTTTCTTTGTTGTTGTTGGTGGGCCTAGGTACTGCCTTTGAGCTTTTTCACTCAAGGTTAGTGCTCTACCACTTTGAGCTGTAGCTCCACTTTCTGTGCAAGTGATTTTCATGTCTTAGTTTCATCATCTGTATTACAAGAATAACATTATATGCATTGTACTCTAGAAGGGTTAACTTAATATATGTAAAATACTATTTTAAAGTGCTTGGCAAAACTGAAATATGTGTTAGCCATTGCTATTATTAGTCTATGATGCTGATAACAACAGTAATGTCAGTGGTGTCTAATATGATATACAATTTAATTCATACCTAATTTATAAAATGTTTTAAACATAGAAAGAAGTTGAAAGAATTGTATCCTGATATCTAAGCTTACCATCTTTATTCTACAATTAATATTTTATATTACTTTATCACGTATTTTATCCAGGCTTCTAACTATTCATCCATCAATGTGTGTGTGTGTGTGTGTGTGTGTGTGTGGTACTAGGGTTTGTGTTTGACAGGCTGGTGGTGTTTTGACTATTGAGCCATCACTCCAGGCCATCTATCAATTTTATATTTATAATTTATTATCAAAGGAAATTAGAGGTATCAGAGAAGCAAGTATTCTTATATTCCTAAAGCTGAGAACTGAGGAGTGCCATACAGCTAAGCTGAAACCCTTTTATTGTTCTCCCTTTAAAAAGTGGATGCAGCCATGTACTGGAGTATGTTTTTTGTTTGTTTTTTAATAAGTTTTTTATTGTGAAAATACAGGGGGGTTACAGTTACATGAGCAAGGTAATGAGTACATTTCTTATCCAGCATTGTTGCCTCCTCCTATGTTTTTCCCCTACCATCTGGTCCTTCCCACCTCCTCAACTACACCCCCCACCTCCCACCTAAATTGTAAAGTTCCTTTTTCCACATAGTGTCTTGTACATCTCATTGTTACAATGGGTCAATCTGTATCCCTATTTATTGTATGTTTTTAATTGAAGTTAATCTCATTAATTCTGTGTTTGAAATGAACTTTAGTACTTTAAAATGGCTTAATTTTAGAACAGAAGATCAAAGTTGGCTATAATAGATAATCTACCTAAATAAGAAACTTCCTTACTTAGCTCTTGCTTGAGAATTTTAAGATAGATAATCCAAGATATTATTTTAAACTCCATTTTTCCCTGAGATCTAATATAATTGCATGATGGTATTAGGATTAAAAACAAAAATGCCACAGTTTGGATACATCCAACATATCTCTGTATGTCTTTGGCTATAACCCTAGCTTGTTAGAATCTGTGAAAATAAGACAGATATCATAAATTTAATTATTTTGGTTGGAAGGTTCCTTGACAAAAATGTTTTGTTTTGGAGATGTGGGAACTGGTAAGTATGGTTTTCTTCTCCTTTATTACTGACCTGGGTAAAAATTATCAGAATAGAGATGAATTTTATACTTTAAAAAATTAGTGGCAAGCCAGGTGCCAGTGGCTTATGCCTGTAATCCTAGCTTCTCAGGAGGCTGAGATCTGAGGATCTGGTTCAAAGCTGGCCCTGGCAGAAAGGTCTGTGAGACTCTTCAACAAACTACTCAGAAGAAGCTGGAAGTGTTACTGTGGTTCAAGGGATAGAGAGCTAGCCTGGAGCCCAAAAAGACTCAGGGACAGCACCCAGGCCCTAAGTTCAAGCCCTAGGACTGGAAACAAAATCAAAACCCCAAAACATTAGTGACAGTGATGTGCTAAGACATTATCCAAAGAGCTTTTGATTAGACTGTTGATAAGCAGTATAAAACTTCACCCATTAGTCACCTTTCCTATTACAAACAGTCAAAATTACTGTATGTACTAGAAAGACACTTTCATTTTACTGCTTAAAGGCCATCTTTGGCCTTTCAGTCACTACCAGAGAAATTGTTTCAAAAACAAATTGGAAAGGTGAGCAAATGCAATTATTATATTCAATGTACAATGACTTTAGCAATAATAATAGAAACACATAAGCAAACAGGAAAAAAATTGGATGCACAATTAGTGGTTGTCGTAGTCAGTTTTTATTGCTGTGACCAAATACCTTAGATCAACCAAAAGGAGAGCAGGTTTACTGTGGCTCATACTTTCAAGGATTTCAGACCATGGCCACATGGCTCCTTTGAGTGTGGGCTGTGGTAAAGCAAAACCATCATGGCATCACTTTGGTTTCTAGTTTGAGGCTTAAGGCTACTTTACGTGTTCTTGAAAACAGTCATTGTGTAGGTATAATTTAATCTTCTGGGTAAATACCTAAAAGTAAAATTGCTTGATGATAGAGATGGCGTATATTTAACAATTTAAGAAACAGAAAGTCCATTCTCAAACTCCTATCAACAATGGGACAGAATTCCAATTGATTCATATACTTGTCCATGTTTAGTGTTGTCATATAACTGTCTGTTATTGTAGCCATTCTGGTAGCTATAAAAGTATCTCAGTGCAATTTTATTTTACATTTCTCCCTAAGATGTTGAGTAACTTCTAGTTAACTTCTAGTTAACTTGCTAGATATTTTACTATTTACTATTGCAAAATATATCTGTTTAAATTTTTGGTTAAATTTTAAAAATTGAATGCCTTCTACTTTTATTATTGGTTGTAGAATTTCTTCATTTGGGGTAGATGGCTCATTTCTCTCCATCTCTTCTTCCTTCTCATGTGTGTGTGTGTGTAATATACCAGGTCTTGAACTCAGGGCCTCGGATTCACTAAGCATGTTTATTCACAGCTGATGTACCACCCTTTGAGCTGTACTTCTAGCCCAGATTTTTGCTGGTTAATTGGAGATAGAGTCTCTCTGGCTTTTCTGTTCAGGCTGGCTTCTAACTGGCATCCTCAGATCTTAGGCTCCTAAATATAGTCATGAACTCCTTGAGCTCAACTTACTCATTTTCTTAATGACATCTTGTATGAGTGAGCAAGTTGTAATTTTGAAGTACCAAATTTTGTGCAAAGATAGTATTTTCTCTGACATATACAAGAAAGCTTTGCCTACCTAAAAGTCATGATAATTCTCTTGTTTCTCCCAAGGTGCTTTGTAGTTCTAAGCTTTCACTAAAGTCTATAGTTTATGCATAATACCTTTCAGCACTAAATTTACTTGGTCCCAAGCATCAATAGATTGTGTATATGCTGATCAATTTCCAAACCTTCTGTTCCATTGGTATCTTCTTATGCCTTTATGCCAAATCAGTAGTCTTCATTGCCATAACATTATAGTAATTCTTGCTTCCTGCCTGGGCGTGAGTCTGGGCTGTGATCTTCCTACTTTTCATTTCTCACTGACTTGGAATGACAGTCACATGACACCATGCCCACTTGCTTCTGTTGAATTCCAGGCCAATCTAGGCCTGGCTGTCTCCCAGTCTCCCAGGTAGCTAGGATAATAATTGCACAGCGCCATACCTGGTTAATATGTATTATTTTTCTTGTGTTGAATTTCTTTTTTTTAAATTTTTTATTGTGAAAATACCATACAGAGGGGTCACAATTACATGGGCAAGATAATGAGTGCGTTTCTTATCAAGCATTGTAGCCTCCTCCTTTGTTTCCCCTTACCATTCCTTCCCATCTCCCCCCGAACCCTCCACCCCACCCCTCACCAAAGTTGTAAAGTTCGTTTTTCAACATAACAATTTGAACATCTCATTGTTACAATGGGTCCACCTGTATCCCTATTTAAACGATTTGTTTTTGCCCTTCCCATCCACAAATTATATCAACATCAAATACAGTGAAAGCAGGGATTATACTGTGGGGGAGGGACATACAAAACAACAAAGAAATCATCTTATAAATATGTTAGAAACAATTGCATGAAAGCAAAACCATTTGAACCTTTATCTTGGGGTTCATTTTACCTAACAAACATCAATTTATCTGACCTTTTCTGCTTGTCTCAGACATATACTAGTTATTGCAAATAAGGGAAACCATGGGACCTATGTTTCTTTGGGCCTGGCTTACTTCACTTAATATAATTTTTTCCAAGTCTTTCCATTTCCTAACTAATGGGACAATGTCATTCTTTCTGATGGAGGCATAAAATTCCATTGTGTATATATACCACATTTTCTTGATTCATTCATCTACTTTAGGGTTGGGAAAAGCAGGGGATTGAACTTGAAGCTTCATTTGTGTGAAGCATGGCCCTCACCATTAAGCAATGCCCACAGACTTGTGAAATTTTAAGTGAGCCAACTTCACATTTCTGAATTTTAAAAACTTCAGTTCATTATTAATCCAGATATTTGAAATTGTCCTTTATACCTGTTTGTATACTTTTGCTGCAGTCTGTATGCTAATTTTATTCTTTGTCAGAGATACTTGTAAATGGTTCCTTAGGATATCTTTGTATCTTTGAGTGGCTTGGGATATACTCAGAAGATTAGTGTTCCACCTGACTTAGTGAAAGACATATATTATAGACATAGTGATGTTGCTATCTGGGCCTTGAGTGTTCTTTGTAGTTCTTTATTATTAATTGATTTGATTTCTTTAATGCACAGGTGGCTATTGAGCTTTTTGAGGTTCCTTTGGTTTGGAGTATTTGTTGGGGTTGGCAAATTATAGTTCTCTATCTGAATAGGTCCCAGGGTACCTTATCTGAGCCTGCTTGCGTGTCACAGTGACAAAATGGAGTGGAAGTGATGGAGAAGTGTGGCCATAGAACTGAATAGTGAGCGTCTGGCCTTTTGCAGCAAAAATGTATCTAAATTTTATAGTTTATACTGTCTTATCATTGTGTAAAGAACATTTGAGAAAATCTGGCCTGGTGGTCACCTGTCTTCCTGGTGCTGCTAATTTTGTTTTGTTCTTTTTCCTTAATCAGCCTTTCTAGGTGCTGACCAATTTTAATTTTGTTTTCAAAGAAGTAACCTTTAACTCTGTTAAGTTTCTCTGTTGTTCACTTTATGGCTCACTAATTTCCATTCTTATGTTGTTTCCTCTTTGGTATTTACTTTGAGATTAATTCCTTTAACTTTTTCAAGTTTCTTAAGGTAGGAGTTTAGGTTATTGCCTTTATATCTTTTTCTTTTCAAGTATAAGAATTCAAAGGAAGTTTTAAAACTTGATGAAAAGTATCTACTAGAAACCTGCAGAGAAAACCATACTTAATGGTGAAACATTTGAGTCACTTCCATTAGTGTCAAGAATGAGGGAATTATGTGCCCTGTCTCCGACACCCATTGTTTAATATTGTGCTGTGGTTTTTAGAAATTCATGTACCTGAGAAGCAGGAAGTGAGCACTGCAGAAAAAGGCAGCAAACTGAGGTTCCACAGTGCGTACCGTCATGCTTTCAAAGAGTGGGTAGGATTTTTTTCCTTTTTACAATTTCCTTTGCACTGGTTGCTGGAAATGAAAATCCATTGTTTCTGATATTATTGAAGATCAAACATTGATGGGTTTCAAGAACTGCCATCTAACTTCAGTGTTATATCCAGAGAGGGGTCAAGAGTTCTGGCAGTCAGGACCAGTGGTTCACATCTATAATCCTAGCTATTCAGAAGGCTGAGACTGGAGAATCACAGTTTGACAAATCCATAAGATGCTTATCTCCAACTTACCAGCAAAAAAATGGAAATAGAGGCATAGCTCAAGTAGTAGAGCACCAGCCTTGAGCAAAAAAGCCAAAGAAGAGTGTGAGTTCCTAAATACAAGCCTCAGTACTAGCAAACACACATGCATACAAAACACTGTACCGTTTAGAGATACAGTACCTTATGTGCCTCTTCTATCCATCTTGACACAGGAGAGGGACCAGAGCAAAATCATGGACCAACAATCTTAATATTAGGAACCAGCAGAACTATAAGTTCTCTCTGACTTTGAGTCTTCTAACTTTTTGTGCCTGACACTATCCTTCATAGTGAGATCACTGTCATCCCACTAAGCAGACCAGGCCTCTTTGGAAATGCTGTAGTTCCATAGACATGAAGAGCATGTCAGTTGAAGTGGTGATCAGATACTATGCCTTCCTTAAAAAGCATCTCTAACCTAGGCGCTGGCTGTTCACGCCTGTAATCCTAACTACACAGGAGGCTGAGATCTGAGGTTCACAGTTCCAAGCCAGCCAGGGCAGGAAAGCCCATGAGACACTTTTCTCTACTAAACTACCCAAAAAACACCCCAAAAGTGGTGGTGTGGCTCAAGTGGTACAGCACTAGATTTGAGCAAAGGAAGCTCAGGGACAGGACCCAAGCCCTGAGTTCAAGCCCCAAGACCACCCTTTCCCCCCCAAAAAAATCTACCTACAAAAGAGAATTCCCAGATGAAGAATATGAGTTATTCTTCCTCATTTACCAAAATTACTGGCATCCCATGTGCTTTCTGCTCCAGCCTGACAAGGTTCAGTGATAACATGACATGATCCACAATGAAAAGATTTCATATTTGCAAAATATGTAGTAAAATCATAGACCTGGTACTAAATCTTGTATGTGTGATCTTGGGCAAATAACCTTGTGTTCTTATATATGCAGTTGGTATTATAATTATACTTCCTCTTGCAGTTGTAGCCATTAGAATACCCACACAATACGTATATGCATGCATAGTGCCTGCCAGATAGTCAGTGCTGAGTAACCATTAGCTCAGAGGAACTAGATGAGTGGCTGTTGGGCTCTTAATCCTTTGCCCGTCACCCACCATTAGGATGGAAGCCTAAAACAATAGGAATGTAAATAAGAAAAACACCCTGAATCTTTTCTCAGTACTCGTACTATCTTGTATCCAAAAACGAGAAGCACTACACATGAATTACACAATGAATCTTTCTGAAGAAAAAGTGACTTGTTATGTGAAGTTCTACTGTTGCTTTTGGAATGTTAATCTGATTTCCCCGTTCCCATTTCAGTGAAGTCATGGACTGCATCATCAGGAGGATGGGAGTCAGTTCTGTGCCTCTAGGAAACCTGCTGCTTCCCCTAAATTTGTCATTTCTCACTGGTTCCCGTCTTTCCTCTTGGTCAGATTCCTTCCAATAAAATGAAATGTCTCTTCCCAGGGTGGTCTAAGGACCAGGAGGGACCACAAATTTGAAATTGTTTGTAAACTCAATCACTCTGCAAATGTGATGATTATTGAGCTGTTACCAGTTTCCATAGTTACAACCCCTCTTTTCCTTTCAAAAACAAATTCCTCCTAGATTTCTCAGTTGAACACACTGATTACACTTTTGCTGGGAGAACTTCCACCTGGAGACAGGCAGAAGATTATGACGATCTGTACCATAGATGTCCATGCCAGAGATGTGGTAGCAAAACTTATTGCTCAGAAGGTAAGTGTTCTGCAGAAATTTTTATTTATTGTTGTATCTTGAAAGAGCTCTTTATTTTCAGAGTAGTTCCAAGAAAGTCACTGTTGTTGTTTTTTAATTAGACTTGAGAAGTTGTGTACATTTTGGGTGCATTGGATTTTGGATAGGTAACATATTGTACAGATAAAAGTTACCCCAAGTAATAACTCAGGGTTTTTTTTTTTGCTAAATTAGTAGACTCATTCAGACATTAATCCAGGGGGAGGAACAATGAGAAACTATTGTGTTTATTTCTGTCTTTGCGGCTTTTCAATGCAGAACCATTGTGGGCCATTTGCCTGTTCCTTTCATCTCTGACATACACAGCTCATAGCAATAATAATAATAATAATTCCATTTCCCCTGAAGTAATCAGGGTTGGTAGTAATTCCAGGTAGTTGAGGTCATCCCGTTTTTTCTACTTTCTAATAATTTCTAAGTAATGTGTCAATAACTTTGTCCTTTATCTCACTAAAATTGAAGTATCTTTTAGGACACTGATAATGTTCAATGTTGAAAGAGAATTCTCCCTCCTTTGTTTCCCCAAACACACTCTACTTCTAGAAATTAGAAGTGTGCTTTTCTCCTGAACAGTGCTGATATACAGCACTTTCTGAGGGGTGGGAGGATAAAACTTTTCCAATTTAAATATATACACATGTTGTGAAATGTGTTGTTTCTCTACTTGCTTCTCCAGTTCTTTAAATCAAAGTAAGTTTAAATTCTTTTTGAAAAGTTCAAGAAACCATAGACATAGACATTACTTTGCCCACCTTACCATTTTGATCATTTTGATATGAAATTGTTTATAGCAGCTTTCTATGACTTCATCCTTTTGTATGTAGATGATTTTTCATAAGATAAATTGTGATTATAATATCTTATTTTTTTAATAGAGGAGATATTTTTGTCAAATTCTCAATCATCTAAACATACGTGTATAGGATTCAGCATTGTATTTTTGATCTTCAGTAGGCAAGAATTTTAATAACTTGAAGTGACTTCCAAGAAACCCTAGGCTCCTATGGTCCTATGAAAGCGAAGGAATGTTGTTTTCAAAATGGGAGAGGAAGTGGTAGGGTAGAATAAGGTAGGAACAAATGGCAATCAAAAATTATTTTTATTAGGATGCAAAATGAAGTTGAAAGTATCTGTCCTAAAAGCAGACTGGTTTTAGAATGAATGTAATTGAAAATGCAGTTTATACCCAACATGCAGAAATTATGGATTATGTGTCATTTTAATATAGAACGTGTAACTTTCCATTGGATTTCCATGATATAAGTATAAAGAGACAGATTTATCTTACGTCCTGGAGTGATTCCTAAAGCAAGAAAAAGCATTGAGTAAATTAATATTATTTTACATAAAGTTCAGTTTAAAATAAAGACTGCTATTGCACATGCATTTCTGACAAAGTAGTCAACCATCTACATGCAATTACAACTTAAGAGTAGCATACATATGAAATTCTTCTCTATGAGATTTTAGAAGTAAAATGTGAACCAGAACAGCTGGTTAGTTAGTCTTTTATTAGCCTCAAAACTATCAGGGCCTGATGTAATGATTGTGCAATGTCTTTAGGTTTGCAGTCCCCAAGCTTTTACTTGGCTCTCCCAACTTCGTCACCGGTGGGAGGAATGGCGAAAACACTGCATTGTTAATATTTGTGATGCCCAGTTCCAGTACTTCTACGAATACTTAGGAAACAGTTCCCGACTGGTGATCACTCCTCTAACGGACAGGTAACAAATCTAAATGTGAGTCAGAAAGGAAAATCAAGCCAAATAGTCCCTTAGCACTTGTGGGGAAGTGTGAGAATTAATGGAAAGAAAGAGAATGAGATGAAATGATAAACAGATTGTGCTAAAGTGAAAATGGTGTGTAAATTAATTATGTGAACTTTGATTTTAGTTAGAAACAAGGTAAAAAAGAGACTAATAAAGTATGCAATATACAAAGGGGAATACCTTGAGTGGGTTAATATGGCTCAAGGAAGCCCCGTTGGTCCCCAAGTTCATTTTGTCCAGTTATTGACTTCTCTTGCCAGGATATGTCACCATTGTCTTTTCCATCCTCTGACTGGAAGTTAAAGAATGACTAGGAAATCCCTGTATTTAAATGCATTTTTGAAGAACTGCAATGTAATAAAAGGAAGAGAAGAAAGAAATCACAAAGTTCACTAAGTAATTCAAGAATTAAGTCTGAGCTAGGCCCCCGTAGCTCACACCTGTAATCCTAATTACTCAGGATACTGAGGTTTCAAAGCCAGCCCAGGCAAGAAGGTCCGTGAGATTCTTTATTTTATTTTTATTTTTAAAAATTTTTTTTATTGTGAAAATACTGTACAGAGGGGTTACAATTACATGGGCAAGATAGTGAGTACATTTCTTATCAAGCATTGTAGCCTTCTCCTTTGTTTACCATTCCCATCCCTTCCCATCCTCCCTTCCCCCACCAATCCTCCCCACCCCCCAAGTTGTAAAGTTGGTTTTCGACATGACAACTTGTACTTCTCATTGTTGCAACAGGTCCACCTGTATCCTTATTTAAACAACTTGTTTTTCCCCTTCTCCTCCACAAATTATACCGACATCAAATACAGTGAAAGCAGGGGTTATACTGTGGGGGAGGGACATACAAAGCAACAAAGAAATAATCTTATAATTGCGTTAGAAACAAATGCATGAAAGAGAAAAAAACATTTAAAATACGTATCTTAGGGTTCATTTTCCTAACATCACCTTATCTGACCTTTTCTGCTTGACTCATACATATACTAGATATTGCAAATAAGGGAAATCATGGGACCTATATTTCTTTGGGCTTGGCTTACTTCACTTAATATAGTTTTTTCCAAGTCTTTCCATTTCCTAACAAATGGGGCAATGTCATTCTTTCTGATGGAGGCATAGAATTCCATAGTGTAAAGACTCTTATCTCCAATTAACCACTAGAAAACCAAAAGTGGCGCTGTGGTTTAAAGTGGTACAGTGCTAGCTTTGAGCAAAATAGCTCAGGGACAGCGCCAGGCCCTGAGTTCAAGCCCCATGACTCCCCCCCCTAAAAAAAAAACCTGTGAAGTGCCCAGCTAGGTATTGTTCTACCACTGGACCAGCAGGGCCCTTGCTTTACAGGTATTCTTTTCTTGTACAGCGTAGTGTACTTTGAACTTGAATGTGGCATATGAGTGTGTGGGAAGGAAGAGGACCAATAAATAAGATTATTTTAGGTGGTAACGTACACGATGACAAATAACAGAGTAATATATATCTAAAACTATGGCAGTGCATGAAACATTTAGAGAATGAAAGTCAGATATCAAGGAATGTATTTAAAGAGTCTACTTCAGGTTGCGTATCCCTTAAATAAAATATCTGGGGAACAGAAGAGTTTCAGATTTTTTTTTGTCAATTTAGAATTATTTGTGTAGACTTTACTGATGGAGTGTCCCTAGTTGTTTAGGAAGATGGGAGCTAAACTGTTGTTGTGGAGAGATGCCAACATACAGTGGTGTAAAGAATGCAGAAGTTAGTTTCTCACCTGTATAACTGTGCACAGGTGAGCAGGTCAGCTGTGTAGGTGGGCAGGTGGCAGTCATACTAAGCCTGGCTCTCACATTTATTTTAGCCAGTGGCAAAGGAAGACCAGATCCAGTCATCTCCAAAGAGGTGTCCTCACATAGATGGAGTTTGGTCACTTGGGTCATGCCTGCTGGGATAGCAGGAGATGTGGGTGGTCATATGTTTATGCTGAATTTGGATCCACCAGAACAGACGATGATGCCCAGAATTGGAGTCTTTCCGTTTCACTGAGAGATGCAGTTAAACATGTGATTGATAGAAAACACAGGAACCTCTCCATTTTCATGAACAAATACAATCCAAAGTCTATTTGTATAGTACTTTGAATTCTTCAAGACATTTACCACTGGCTTTCTTTTTACATCCTATAGTAAACCTCATTTCCTAGAGGGGACTGACATGTTGATATCAAAAGACAGATTAACATGTGATAGCCAGGGAAATACTTGTTAGTTCTTGGTCATCTGACCTCCATCCACAGGTCTGCCCCTTTGACCCATTGTCTATGCTGATCAAAAACAATTGGAAATAACAGCTGCCAATTGAGGTCCTTGCCGTTTGTTAATCTTTCCTTACATTACATGGATTAAATTCTCTCTTTGCTTGATTTTCCTCAGTCACAGAACCTCTGAGTCTTTTCTGCAAAAGAAAAAAGAAAAAGAAAAAATAAGTATGGTACCCTGAGGCCAGACCCCAGTAAAAACCATAACAAGTTATCTAAATGTATATAACAACATAGTCAAGATTAATTTCTATAATAAGTCTTAATAGGGTCATCGTGCATTAGTGTTTACTTTATATATTGCATTATCTTCTTATTGAAATGGGTGTGTATACTTAAGTAAGTTTGCATGTCTCATCTTTTTTTAGTATTTCTTTTAGTATTCACTAAATAGGAGTTTAATGCAATCAATGCTTCATTCATCACCCAAGATTTCTTTTCTCTCTTTTATAACAATAGTTTGAGGTGCTTTCTGCCATATTTATAATATTTTTGTCTAAATACCAAAAGTAAAAATGCTTATTTATTATTCATTTATTTTATTGGTCATGGAGCTTGAACTCAGGGCTCTCTTGATCATGGCGAGCACTGTACTTCTTTGAAGCACAGTACCACTTTAGGTTTTCTGGTGGTTAATTGGAGTTAGAGTCTCATGACTTTTCCTGCCCAGGCTGGCTTTGAACTGTGATGGTTAGATCTCAGCCTCCTGAGTAGCTAGGATTGCAGGTGTGAGCCACCAGTACCTGCTTACATTGAAATTTAAATATTACTTTTACATACACAGCTGTTGTGAAATGAGGCCAGTATTGTTTCCTTCCTTTACTTCCTTTTCTTCCTTCCTTTTCTTCCTTTCTTCCTTCCTTCCTTCCTTCCTTCCTTCCTTCCTTCCTTCCTTCCTTCCTTCCTTCCTTCCTTCCTTCCTTCCTTCCCTGCCCTCCCTCCCTTTATTCCCTTCCCTTTTCTTCCCTTCCCTTTTCTTCCCTTCCCTTCCTCCATTATTTTTTGGTTGGTACAAAGGTTTGAATGCAGAGCCTTGAGCTTTTCACTTGGCTTTCTTGCTCATAGGTGGTACTCTACCACCTGAGCCATGTCTCCAGACTAGATTTTTTGCTAGCTAATTGGAGATGAAGTCTTGTAGACTATTCTGCCCTGTCTGCTCTGAAACTGCAATCCTCCAGATCTCAGGCACCTGAATAGTGAGGATTCCATACATGAGCCACCAGTGCTCAGTTTCTCTAGCAGTTTAAAATAGTGTACCTAAAAAAATGAATTCGATATAAAATCTTCTCAGACAAGTTGATGTTAGGTGAAACGAACCCCAAGATAAGTATTCAAATGTTTTTTTCTTTCTTGCGATTGTTTCCAACATATTTATAAGATTATTTCTTTGTTGCTTTGTATGTCTCTCCCCCAGGGTATAACCCCTGCTTTCACTGTATTTGATGTTGATATAATTTGTGGAGGGGAAGGGAAAAAATTGTTTAAATAGGGATACAGGTAGACTCATTACAATAATGAGATGTACAAGACATTATGTCGAAAAACGAACTTTACAACTTTGGCAGGGTGGGAGGGTAGTAGGGGGATTTGGGGGTGGGGAGTGGAGAGGGGAAGGGATGGGAAGGGGAAACAAAGGAGGAGGCAACAATGCTTGATAAGAAATGTACTCACTATCTTGCCCATGTAATTGTAACCCCTCTGTATGGTATTTTCACAATAATAATAAAAGAATAACTATAGATCCTTCACTTAGATTTTGAAACTCTCAAAAAAAATCTTCTGACTCACTATTGCCATGAATAAAATAGAAATATATCAATATTTTGTGTTATTACTGTATTCTAGACTGTGGCTTTTTAAGCTTTGTTTTAAAGTAAATAATTGCTCCTAACGTTACATAGAAATTACATACTAAACTGTAATATTTGTATTTCCTATGTGTAAAGGTGTTATATTACTTTAACTCAGTCACTGCATCTGACTATGAGTGGAGCTCCTGCTGGCCCCGCTGGTACTGGGAAGACAGAAACCACCAAAGATCTTGGTCGGGCCCTTGGCATGATGGTTTACGTATTTAACTGTTCTGAGCAAATGGACTACAAGGTCAGTTATTAAATGATGCATACAGTGATGTATTCTAACAATGTTATTTCTGTTTGAGGTGAACCAAAATACAGGATGCATTCTGAATTGCTTAGGATAAGAAGAGTTTCCAATTTCAGGCTTGTTTGGATTTTGAAATATTTCCGTATGTGTAAAGAGATACGTTGGGGCTGTAACCCAAGTCTAAACATAGACCTCATATTTCTTACATACTTTTTGCGTATAGAGGAAGTTAAATGTGCACAATGGTATTAGCCATTTTGAGCATGAGACAAAGTTTCGTGGTATGGAATTTTCCACTTGTGCCATCATGATGCTCAAAACATTTTGGATTCTGGAGCATTTTGGATTTTAGATTTTCTGACCTGGAGGTGTTCTTCCTGTAAATACTGAAAACTGGCTTCTGCTAGGCTCTGAATGTGTCACTCTATCCTTTAGTCTATAGGAAATATCTACAAGGGGTTGGTGCAGACTGGAGCATGGGGCTGCTTTGATGAGTTCAATCGCATTGCGGTGGAAGTTCTGTCTGTGGTCGCCGTTCAAGTGAAAATGATTCACGACGCCATCAGGAACAGGAAAGAGAGGTGAGTGCCATGTGGCTTTTATAAGCTGATTACCATGGAATAATACAAATCACCTCATCTTCACAGCCTGTGGCTCCCTCCCTGAATCTCATGAAATGGCTAAAATAAGAGAATAGTTAATCCTGAAGAATTGGATATCCACCCATTTTCATTAGTGGGTTTTTTAAAGTAAGTATTGAGTACATTTTTATGTGACATGAATCATTTAAAGAAGTTCTATGATTCTAAGTCTAGAAGATCAATTCTCAGGCCTCATCTGTTTTGGTCTTCTGCCAGTTGATGATTCTTATTGCAGGGCACACTGCAATAAGAAGTGGGCACAGAGAGGTGCTGGCTTCTATATTTAATTTTTTATTTTTATTATTTTACTACTTTTATGTTCTAAGCTATTAGTGTTGGATTCCAGATTTTGGGACTTTTTTGTCTGCTTTCAGTTCCCCACTTTGTGATGTCATCTAGTGCTCTGGGCTTCAGAAGGTGAGGCCCAGATATCTGTCCCTATTTCTAGACTTATAGAAACAGCTTTGAGTACCTTATGACTCTCCTTAAGATCTTGAAACCTTCATGTCTAATACATCCCAAACAAAAATTCTAGCTTTTCTATTAAGACCCATTTTCTTGGTTGTCCTATCATAGGAAGTCATTACCTCCATGTTCTATTTGTTTGTTTGTTTATTTATTGCACCAGTACTAGAGCTTGAACTTGGAGTCCCAACACTTATTAGCTTTCTTTTTTTTTTCTTTTTTTTTTTGCTCAAGGCTGGCTCTCTACCTTTTGAACCACAGCTCCATTTCTGGTTTTTGGCTGTTAATTAAAGATAAGTCTCTTAGATTTGTCTGCTCAAGTCAGCTTCAAACCTTGATCCTCAGATCTCAGATTCCTGAGTAGCTAGGATGACAGGCGTGAGCCACTGGTGCCCAGTCATACCTTCATATTCTTTAAATAACTCAAGGTAAAACCTTTTCAAATGTACCCCAACTCTTAACTACTTGACAACATGATGTCACATTCCACAAGGGAAAACAAACAGCATTGAAGATTAGAACGCTCAGTCTGACAAATATTATAATGCACAGCACAATCCAGTTCTCTTTGTTACATTTTCTGATAGAGGCATCCTTATTTATCTGGACTATATATTCATCTCATTTTTTTTATTGTAAAGATACTATACAGAGGGTTACAGTCACATGAGTGAGGTAATGAGTACACTTCCTCTTGAACATTGTTACCCCCTCCATTGTTTTCCCCCTACCATCCCCTCCTTCCCTCCCTTCCCCGAGGTTCTTTTTTTTTATTGTGATTAAGTGATTACA